ATCTTGGTTCTCCTTGCCCCTCTCTACCCACTGACACAAAATCCATAAGAACAAAAGACGCCTGAGAGGCACACACTACCAGGAGTAGGTGGAAAGCACTGTGTCGTTTTGCAAGCTGAGGTTTCCTTGTAATTGGCTTGTCTACCACACTGAGGCTTTTGCCCCCTCTTCCTGCCCTGGCCTCCTGATGTTTTTCATTATTTGAGGCACCACCGCGCCTTTGGTATAGCGGACACCCAGTGGCGTATAACAGATGAAACACTCTACAGTTGATGCTAGAAAAGAATGAAAAACAGGCCACCCCACCTACACATGGCCCTTCCCGTCGGGGGGTGGCAGGCGTAAGTTGGGGGAAGTCAGATTTGCATTGTGACTGTGATCCCGTGATCATCTGCGGACACACTGGCTGTTCAGGCTAAACCGTAAATGAAGCTCATTGCTCAGGCCAAACAAAGGCAGGCCAAAGGTTTTCTTTGGGGTTGACCACAGATAATTTTTAAATTCAGGCAATGAAACATTTCATAGTTTTAATTTATCAGGGTTGTGCTTTGGTTACCATGGACTCACACACTTTATTTTATTTTATTTTTTTTGTTTTTATTTTTATTTATTTTTTAATTAAATCTTCATTGTTCAGATTATTACATTTGTTCCTCTTTTTTTCCCCCCCATAACTCCCCTCCTCCCAGTTCCCGCCCCACCCTCTGCCCTCACTCCCCACCCACTGTCCTCATCCATAGGTGCACGATTTTTGTCCAGTCTCTTCCCGCATCTCCCACACCCCTTTCCCGCCCAGGAATAGTCAGTCCATTCCCTTTCTATGTCCCTGATTCTATTATAATCAACAGTTCATTCTGTTCATCAGATTATTTATTCACTTGATTCTTAGATTCACTTGTTGATAGATGCATATTTGTTGTTCATAATTTGTATCTTTACCTTTTTCTTCCTCTTCCTCTTCTTAAAGGATACCTTTCAGCATTTCATATAATCCTGGTTTGGTGGTGATGAACTCCTTTAGCTTTTCCTTATCTGTGAAGCTCTTTATCTGACCTTCAATTCTGAATGATAGCTTTGCTGGATAAAGTAATCTTGGTTGTAGGTTCTTGGTATTCATCACTTTGAATATTTCTTGCCACTCCCTTCTGGCCTGCAAAGTTTCTGTTGAGAAATCAGCTGACAGTCGTATGGGTATTCCCTTGTAGGTAACTGAGTTTCTTTCTCTTGCTGTTTTTAAGATTCTCTCTTTATCTTTTGCTCTTGGCATTTTAATTATGATGTGTCTTGGTGTGGTCCTCTTTGGATTCCTTTTGTTTGGGGTTCTCCGCGCTTCTTGGACCTGTAAGTCCATTTCTTTCACCAGGTGGGGGAAGTTTTCTGTAATTATTTCTTCAAATAGGTTTTCAATATCTTGCTCTCTCTCATCTTCTGGCACCCCTATAATTCTGATGTTGGTACGCTTGAAGCTGACCATGGACTCACACACTTTAAAGCATACAATATGAGCTACCAGACACCCGAGTTCTCCCAGAATGCCTACTTAAAACAGGAGACCGGAGAAGTGAAAAGACAGGCAAGACTGGCCTTCTAAAGATGCTTGGATAGTCTCTCCCCTCTGACACCTCACAGGGATGAGCCTTCTACGGTCCTTACCAAGGACAGAGAAATGTCATCCCTTTGCACTGTCACTGGCCTACCAGGTCCCGCCTCAATGCCTTGGAAGCAGGCTTCCTGCACTGTAAACCCACATCCCCAAACCCTGCCGACCAAACCCACTTCATCATCAAGTTGCACATCTTAAAACAAAACAGCGCCAAGCCCTGTACCAAACGTCCTTGGGCCTGGGCACTCCAGGCGGTTGTGGGGCCACATGGAAGCGGGACTGGGTTAGATGTCCACCTTGGGAAGGTCAGAACCTGGGATGAATCTTTACTCAGTTCCATCCCCACCCGAGGGGTTCCTCTGACAGGCAGACTGTTAGGCTGTCACGAGGAGTCACGCTGACTATTTCCTAGAAATTACTGGTTTCCTCCAGATTAGGTAAGGTGGTAGAAAATGACTTCTGTCTCTGAGTCTCTAATTTAAGACCCTAGAAAATGTGAGTCCAGTGAATTCAGTAGGTGTTCTAAGTCCTTATTTGGAAGGAGGGTTTCCGATGGCATCTCCAAATGGTTACAGATGGTTCTCACTTACGGAAATTACACGTGTGGCCCGAGCCAGGGGACACAGGACAGGAGCAGCACAGAGCAGGTAGCTGCAGACAACCCGCTGCTAGGCCAGCAGGTGGAGAAACGCATTACTTTGAAATGAGCCAAGTTCCCCCAAGTTTGAACAGAAAAACTATTATATTTAAGGGGGAAATGCTCTACTCCATGGGAAGATAGAGAAATTTGTAAGGAGAGTAGTGACAACGGGAACCTCTGTCTTTAGGGAGTGGATGGTTTTCTTTTCACGTTATTTTGCACTTAGTCATGCAATCAACAGGGGCCCAGGTGCTAACTTACTAGGTGATGAACTACGGGGCTCGACCAGGAGGGTTGGAGGGAATTTCAGAACAAAGTCAAAGGGAATAGCGTTGCTCATCACCCATGTACCTTTCTACCCAGGACAGGGCCACGTGTCTTCTGGGAAGAAGTCCTAATTTCTGATTGTATCTTGCAACCAGGTCTTCGAAGGGAGCCCATACTTTCCTAAAATAGGTTTGATTCCTTCTACCAGAGGTCATAATGACATTTATTGAAATATTAGAGGCCTGATGCATGAAATTTGTGCAAGAGTAGGCCTTCCTTCCCCCGGCTGCCGGCACCGACTTCCCTCTAGCACCTGGGACCCAGGCTTCCCTCGCAGGCCCAGCTTCGTCCGGGAAGTCATCCAGTCTAATTAGCATATTATGCTTTTATTATCCCATATAATAAAAGCCCAGCGACTGAAACGGCAGGACGACCAGAATGACCAGAGACCAGAACTACCGGCCCTTCGCCCAGGCCGGTCTGCAAACCGTCATGGCCCCTCGCCCTAGCCGGCTCCGCCCCCCCCCCCAGCGGGGACCCCCACCCCAATCGGGAGCCCCCATCAGGGCAGGCCAGCCAGCCCCCACCCACGCACCAGGCCTCTATCCTATATAATAAAAGGGAAATATGCAAATTGACCCTAACAGCGGAACTACCTCTGGACCAGTCATTATGAGGCGCACTGACCACCTCTCAGTCTCTTCCCCTGGTCAGCAGGCTCCAATCGCCTGGTGGCAAATGGGGAACTGGGGGTGGGTGGTGGCGGGGGGCGGGGCTGGCTGCAGGCAGCCAGGGAAGATGGCCCTGTTTGCAGGCCAGGCCTAGGGACTGTACCCATGTATGAATTTCGTACGCCGGGCCTCTAGTTATAGATAATTTATCACCATAAAGCTTACCCATTTAAAGGATGCAATCCCATGATTTGTAGCATAGTTACAAGGTGGTGAAACCATCACCACGATCTAATCTTACATTCAATGCCCCCAAAAGAAACCTGGCAATCATTGGCAATGGAGCAATATTGTGAACCAAGGACTTTCTCTTGCTTTTCAGGGCATTTCGTTGAAGAAATCACCTAAGAAGCCAAAGGGAATGAATGGCTCAGATTTTAAGTGTTTCTATCCAGAGCCTCTCCTCCTTCTACCCACAGACTCAGAAGCACTGCAGTCCCAGCTCCTGGGAGAGTCCCGGAAGGAGCTGCTGAGGCGATGCGGCAGCCACCTTGGAGCACGCGAGCTGGGGCAGGCTTTTCAACAGTAATAAACATACTTGGGCTCAGCCCGCCACCGGAGGGAACACTTTTCACCCGGGTGCGCAGACCACGTGCCCACGTGACGGGCTTTCCCTGGTAGAAGCTGAACTGATCTTGGTTACATAGTCAATTATTGCTCATTCCACACAAGAAGAACAGGTAAGGAAGGGAGGTGGTGACAGTCCACTAGGTAACACCGAGGTGCCCACCAGCCAGCTGTTCTGATGCAGTAAGAACCTCAGATGTGCAGAGAAACATCTTTACCTCTTGAAAATTCTTTTTTAAAAATATATATTTTATTGATTTTTTACAGAGAGGAAGGGAGAGGGATAGAGAGTTAGAAACATCAATGAGAGAGTAGCATCGATTAGCTGCCTCCTGCACACCCCCTACTGGGGATGTGCACAAAACCAAGGTACATGCCCTTGACTGGAATCGAACCTGGGACCCTTCAGTCCCCAGGCTGATGCTCTATCCAGTGAGCCAAACCAGTTAGGGCTTTAAAACACACACTTTGCGCGCATGCACACACACACACACACACACACACACACACACACGTGCATGGACACACATGCACACGCAGAACCTTAGCAAGTGAAAAAATAAAAAAACCAACAACAAAAAAGGGCCTGATCTGCTCTCAAAAGTAACTATAGATCCTATTCAACTATTTTGATACAGTAAAGCCAGACGTGAGACACAGTTTGAGTGACAGTTGACTAGGCTGGTAGATCTCATTCATAATACAAGTCAGAAAACCAACCGAAGCGCAGCGCGAAGAGCCAGGCACTCAGGACCATGAAGTGGGTGACGTGCATAAAGTATTTCAGGAGAGAATCTCATTGAAAGCCAGACAGCTCCCGGGGAAATGATACGGAAAAAGTCTGACGAAAACATCTCAAAATAAATGAAGTACTTATTGCTGAAAAATGAGCTCAGATCGCAGCCAATTCCAAAGTTCAGAATTTACTGCGTGCTGAGGCCTTTTCCTCCAGTTCCTTGTCTCTTGTTTCACTAACAACAAGGGACTCTCCACACTTCCTGTGAAATACAACAAGGCGATTTTTGCAGTAATAAACCCACATGGGCATGACAAATCCAAGCATGCAAAACGTTTAACACCCCAGCTCCCAGACACTTGAGGGACAAAATCCGATTATGAATTATATGCTACAATAAATAAGGCTCGATGTTTCATAAAGCAATTTATAGTTCATAAAAATGACAAAACGTACCTGTCAGACAGAGCGTGGAGCGCGGTTCCCTGGGCTGCCTGGTGGAAGAAAGGGCAGAGATGTTTATTTAATATTCTGACTTCTAAATTACGTGGTCAATCAGCACTTAAAAAAACCCGTGTCACACACATTTTTGCCATGTGGCCAAATATTACCAGTAAGCTACAGGCAACACAGTAAGAGCTCTGTCATGGTATGCGGTAAATGCTCCCGTAGAGTTAACTGAAGCCCCTGCAGTGCCCACCTGCCACCAGGGGGCGAGCGTGGGGCGGCAGGAAGTGCCAGGCTGGTGAGGTTGGACAGGTCTCAGGAGACCGTCCCCGCCCAAACCCTCCCCAACTATTCATTTGTATTCCCTGTTGCTTTATTCTACTTTCCTGAAAGAAAAAAAAAAAAATCTGTTTTGGTTCCTTTATAGCATCTCTCCCAATGAAGGTACACCTTTTGACCCAGTTTTCTGATTTATTGAAAAAGCCACCACAATTGTAACCTGGAACACTGACGGAAATATGATATTATGAGATATGGATTTGTTTTTAGGCAACGATTTTGTGGCAATTTTAAAAGAATCTTTAGAGATTCATATTGAAATATTTATGGATACCGTTACAGGATCTGGGATCTGCCTTGAAACAATGTACTTGGAGGGAGGGGAGGGTGGGTGGACATGTAAATAAAACAATGTCCTTGGGTTGGTAACTGCTGAAACCAGGTGATGAGCACACCGGGGATTATTATATTATTCTAGACTGTTTATGTGTTTGAAATGTTCTATAAAACAAAAAAAACAAAAAAAGAAAAACGAAGCTAAAGACCTCCATTTCTCCATCAGATTTCCCCCATTTTGTACTCACTGCCTTTTGTCTGCTTAGCCTAGCTTGTCCATGTGCCCCGTGTGGCTGAGCTCCGAAGGCAGGGGGCACACTCATTCTACGTCTCCGAAGTCATTACTGGGAGGGATCACAGCACGGCCTGTGAGACCAAGGCTTACCCGGGTGCACAAGAAATAAGAAGTGCACATGGCCGTTCACTGCGTACAGGACACAGGGCACGTTTACTGTTTACCAAGGGCGCCGGAGTGTTTCCCATGCCATTCCTCATTCCATGTGGATAGCAGACAGACAGACACAATCTTCAGATGAGAAAAACACGACCTGGCAGAAACCTGATCCCTGTCACAGAACTGAATCCACCCTTGGCGACACACAAACACCTCTTGGATCACTCGGTCAGCCCAGCACTGGCCGGATTCCCAGCACATGGAGACCACTGCCGGAGGCTCCAGGAGGGATCAGAGCAAAGGCAGGGCGCACAGTCACTGTGTCAGAGAAGCCCAGTCCCTAGGCAGGAACTCTGAGCAGAGGTCCAGGGAGGACTGGAAGACACTTGGGCATTAACATGCAAGTGGAAGATGAGTAGGGGGGGATGTGGGTGCTGGTAACTCATGGCCGGTGGGCCACGGGCTCCTCAGTCAGGGCCTGGGACGGCTGGCAGGTGCTCAGTACACATCTGATGAGGAAATGTCAAATGGATGAATAAATTCGGGAAGCCTTCTCACTACTATCTGAGCAAAGCTGCAAAGACAAGGAGGGATGTGTTCAGGGAAAGAGGCATTGGTCGCTCCAGACTGCAAGGCAGAGCCAGGGCCTCCGCGGCCAGGCCTCTAGCAGTGGTTCTCAGCTGGGGCACCTCTTGCCCAAACAGCAAGGCTACTGGAGTTGAGTAGGGGTGTTTCTGTGTCTTAACAGCAAGGGGGGTCACTACTGGCCACTGATGCCTGGGGCCAGGGATGCTATAGCCTCTCAAAGGCCCGATGGGTCCCTGTACAATGAAGCGGCCCCCTTAGAAGGACAGGGGTTCTATGGAGAAACACTGCAGCAAAGGCCGGAAAGAAATCTGACAGGAGCGACACAGGAGCTGAGACTAAATCAACAACAGGAACTTGGATAATTCCCACGGGGACATAACCACACGGACTGAGGAAAACATAAGCTCTGTTGACCTGGGCACTGAAAGTCCTCATCCTGGGAGAGGTTCACTGTTCGTTTATGTGAGGGCCTCAAGACTCAGCTTCCAAACTGCTCTTTCTACCCTAAGTGGGGTGGTGAGGGAGCTGGCCAGCCATGTCCAGGCTCCAGTGAACAGTTTATGGGGTTACTGCCCCTCTTTTTTCTCTGGATTCCTGTGAATTAAGGGCCAAATGCCAGGGCATTCCAGTGTCATGAGGGGAAAGATATCCACAGAGCGCCCTCTTGCTGAGGACGCCTTAGGGAGCAGAACGAGGCGGGGAAAGAGGTGAAAAGCCTCAGGAGGCCGTGGAGACCAGGAGCCCCTCCTCCTCCCCCCATACCCCTCCCGTCTTCTCTGTGCTCTGGGGGGGGGGGGGGCGGCAGCCCAGGCACCACCATAAGGGAGCGCCCGGCAGGTGCAGGGCAGCCCCCACCGTCCCCAGGGCCCCATCGCTCAGCGAGATGCTTTCCTTTTTGGCAGCTATACTTGAAAGGAACCCAACTCCCTACTCCTGACTCTGCTTGGCTAAATATACAAACACGTATTTTGAACTCCCCCAAGAAAAGGTGGCATGCGTGATTAGTTCAGCCTCAACGCATCTCCGCAGAAGGCACGGCTGACGGACTTTTCCAGAAATAACAGAAACCTTAAGGCGCGATGTGGCTGGAAGGTCAACAGACACCTCTAACATGGCTCCTGCGTGTCCCCTGGCCAGGGCTGCCAATGTTTTAGCAGTCTGCTGGCTTTGTTCTCTTCTGCCTCCAAATACTTCCCGCTGACTTTTGTGATAAGGAAACGGTGCCCGTTGATGTGCAACGTATGAGAAAATTATTTTAAAAACAAAAGCAAAAACAAGCACAAAACAAGCCACTCTGCTGTGGTGCCTCCAGGTGGCGGTCCCTGCTGAGGACCCCGCGCAGGTGGCTGCTGGCCAAGTGCTCGGATGGGACTGAGCAGAGGCGCGGGGCAGGGCCGCCTTCCTCCAGCAGATGGGCCTGACGCTGGCACCAGAAGGCCCTCTTGGGCTGAGCATGGCATCCCACCAGCGCCGGACAATGACTTTCTGTGATCCTCACTCTCCCATCTGTCCGCATGACCAACGTGTCCACACACTTCACACCGTGGCACGGAGCACCATCGGCCACCTGCACCACAATTTTTCATGCCTGAATTTGATGGCGCTATTTACTTTGCAGTTATTTTACAACATTAAACACGTTATGGAGACGGCTCACCATCCATCAAGAAAGCAGATGAGAATATGTTAAAGTTTTAAACAATAACTTTAAAACAGCTTTATGGCATTAAGTTAAAATGGTATGTCATACACCAAAGCAAAGACCGCCAATTTTATTTTATTTTATTTTTTTACTGCTCTTCTTTTAAATAAACGTTGGCTTTTGGACACTATTTTTTTTTTACTGTTGAAAATAATAAAATAAATAAACATTGGAACTAAATCGCAGAGAAAAAACTGCGTAGGTGACTCATAATTGAAGGCTGAAGGAAGACACAGCGTAAACTAGATGAATTTCCTTCTTTCAAGCGTTGTGTGTTACAGCACCCACACTTCTCCCTTCCTGAATCATCACCTCGGCTGGTAACTTTCCTCATCCAGTTCTCAGCAAAATAGTGGGGAGGGTGAAGGGAACGCTACGCTGATCTTTCCCAAGTGCCTTACGCATTCACGAGTGACTCTGAAGCATAAGCTCTGAGACAAGTTTTCTGCCAGAAATAATCATTTTCCAGTTCTTTTCAAGAGATGGCTTTTTTTTTCTGTCTTCATTATAGAAAGCTTGGAACGTGGGACAGAAGCAGTAGAAATCCAGGTTTCAATGTATGAGAAATAAGTTACTAGTCCTTCTGCTACTGAAGGAAAATCAAAGGAGAAATGAGGTGCCCTTATTGTAACCGGGTTGCGGGCAGGGCAGGCTATGGACGCTGGAGTGCGGAGGGGAGCGAGGGAAGAGGCTGGGATTCAGAGGGTGCCAGGAAGATGCAGTTTCGTTCCTTCCTGATGGAAACAGAACGAACCGGACAGCTCCATGGTTCAATCTGAAGCACCTGTGGTGTGCAGGTAACAGGCTGGGTGTGAGTTACAATCAAACAGAGAAAGCTCTCGCCATACTGTATGTAGGGCCTAGAGGTGTCAGACATAAAAGTTACACATTCTTGATTGCACAAACGTTCTAGATTGCAGGGGCTCTGGCCGAAGAGGAGTGGGTGCCGGGGGACCTCCCTTGGAATGAGTGGGTGAGGAAGGCCCACTAAGTCAGGGGTAACTAAGCTGATGCCTAAAGGATAAACAAGAGTTACTGGAGCAGAGAAGTGAGAGGGGGTGTGGAAGAATGAGCTCCATGCAGGCCTAGGTCCTTACTCAGTTAAAGAACTACAAGAAGGCCACTGTGAGGGAACTCAGCGGGTGGTGGGGACACTGGCAGATCCCAAGGGCTTTGGAGGTCAAGTTAAGGATTTGGGGTGCTCTCCACCTAAGAAACCGCGGAGTGGTTCACATTAGGGGAAGTTGGGTAAGGGATGTACGGGGCCTGTTCGTACATTCTCTGCATCTTCTGATGATTCAATAGAAGTTTTTTGTTAATCCTCACGCAAGGATATTTGTTCCATTGATTTTAGAGAGAGTGGAAGGAAGGGGGGGGGAGAGGAACACACTGATTGGTTGCCTTCTGCATGTCCTTGGACCAGGCTTGGGGATCGAACCTGCAACCCAGGTACATGCCCTTGACTAGGAATCAAACCCATGACCCTTTGATGCCCAGGGCGACTCTAACCACTGAGCTACACCAGTCAGGGATGATGGATCTATAATTAAAAAAAATAAAGGAGGGAGCAAGGCAGTATGATTTATTTATTTATTTTTTTTTTCAAATTTCACTTTGGCTTCTGTTTGGTAAATGGATTTGGGCAGGAAGGTTCAATGTTTAAGGTTGTTGCATTAATCTAAGCAAGAGAAGTGCATGGTAGCAATGAAGGTGAAGAGAGTTTGTGTTACATTTTGGATGCAGAACTG